TAAAACCCTAGATTCCTTCTTTAGATGTAATTGTCTACTAAAAGAAACTCAATCCCATCTCCCAAATATATGAAAATAATAACGGTAGAAACTAGAGAGTAAAAACAAAATTGAAGATAACAAAATAAGTGAATGAAACCTTACCTTGGTGAGAAAGGGAATGCACATGTTGAGTTTCTAAGTGGGGACCTATGCAATTGGGGAGGAATGGCATTAGGAAGAAAGTTTGTTCATACTTGGTTACCAAGAAAAAAATATAAAAAGAGAAGTAATAGGTATTGCTTTTCATGGAAGAAAACAACTTTCTTCAAACTAGAAAAATTGATATTTTTATTGAAGGTTGGGCTATTTTAACATTAGTCCTATATTATTGGAGTGCAAGTGTGAACAAGAAGTCCTATATTGGATAGATATGGACATGTTGAATAATATACTAAATATAGAAGAGGCAAAGACTTGTATACCCCTAATGCTTCAAGGTTTTGGATTGGATGTAGTGTCAAACTTACTTGTTTGGTTTGCTCATGGCTTATTAATAAAAAATTTCTTGATGTTTTACCCCTCTTGTATTCCCTAACAAGTGGGATCCATTATGTCAAATGTCTTTCTAACAATGTAGAAGTTAGGCAACATGTCTCGTTGATGTAAGTTAATGATGGTGCATGTAGAGTGAGTTGGCAGTGGCTAGTGAAGGTGGACAGAATTGGCAAAGCTTCAGGAAGGATGTCACTGCAGTTGAGGGCCGAAATCAAATTGAGAGACAACTTACAAAAAAAAAAAATATATATATATATATATATATATATATTAACCAATGAATGATGCTTTCACTGAATATGCATAGGGCGGGTTGCCTCTCATTAGGGTTTAAATCGCATGTCAAGGGAAAAGAAAGCGAGACTTGTGATGTTCATGTGTCTAAACTAGATAAGAGTGATAAACTATAGAACAAAAGTAATAAATACACCGATTAAATGTCCTAATTACTGGAATTACATGATGATATTGTTAGCTTATACATTTTATCTAGATGCCATTAATAGTTTCCAAGAATAATCTGTTTTGCGTTCTCCTCACAGTTGCCACCTCAACAACTGGAAAGTGCACTCAACAGGCACGCTAATCTCAGAGGTCCCCTTGCTTCTTATGCCAGCCAGCCAACTGTAAAATCATCACTTAGTAGGTAAGCTTTTCTCGATATGATTACTTGAATTTTTTTATTCCTGTCATGACAGCTGTGTGATTTTGGTCCCTGAATACTTTTTTGCATCTCTAATCAAGTCTCCCTAACTTTTCTAATTAATTAAATTCAGTCCTTCCATCAGTTTGCAATCCAATTACTAAGGAAATAAATGACATTAATAGCCTAATCACGCAACACATCATTTAATCATTAAGCTGTCATTGTCTAATAATTAATCTGTAACGCCTCCCTGCTTTTTATGCCAGTCAAATAGATACAAAATTTTTCGTTCCTTGGTAAAAATTCCTATAGAAGCTAGGTCTAAATTTCTTTGTAATCAACTAAAATTACGCATATACCTATGTACAGATCAACTTTAGCAGTACTTGGTCTTGCAAATGAAACTCATGTGCAGCAACATTTGTCAACTTCGTTACACCCTTCTGACACAAGTTCTTCAGTTCACGGAGCAACTCTGACGTGATAGTAAAGTGACTTACAGGAATTCAGTTAACTGGACCAATTGAAAATTATTGTCAAGTAGATTGGTCGACTTTCCGTGTTTCGTGGGATCCTAAGAGCGGATACACTCAGTTTATATGGTGTGATTTTGAACCCGAATGCAGCATTTTCAGAGTTTCTGACCTGCCGACGTTGGGGCATGCATCCAGTTGTATCTTCAGTTTTCAGGAAACCATTGCTCCAGGAAAAACCACCCACCCAGCCTCTAGAATGTATCATAGTTTTTTTTTTTTTTCTCGCTTTTCTGTGGTTATTTTTTTATTTTTTTTTCACTGTAATATTATTCATTCAATTTTGATGCTTTATTCCTGCCTTTTCTGGGGTAGGAACTGTGGACTATCCTCGTGTATGTGGTGGTTGCATAGTTCTCCTTACCCAGACGATATGATAATGCTAAAATGAAATCAAGTCTATGGTCTCATCTCTGATTTTCACGTCTTTAAATATGGAAAATGACTGGTAAATTAAAAATTAAAATCAATAAATATATAATAATTGAAAATATGAATATAGAAATGAAAATGAAAATTTTAATTCTTATTTAACTTTTTATAAGTTTATTTTAAAATAATTATTTATCACTACAAAAATTAAAATACATCAACTTTGTAATTTTAACTTCATTTTTTTGTATATTTTTATTATGTACAGTATGAGCAATGACAGATTGTATAACTAATCCAGTTGCTTTAAATATATTTTTTATATTTTTTTTAATAAAATAACAGTGGCTAAAGCTACGAAGCACATATAATATTCTACAGACCGATATAAACGTGATATACTTGCTTTTTTCTAACAGTTTTTTAAAAAATTATTTATCAAAATAATAGTTTACAATTGTAAGATAAGATGATTTAATTGCGTAAGATCTTAAGAACACAGATGATAGTGAAGGTTATTTTAATAAGACCTTGTTTTAAATCATAGTTAAAGACTGTAAAATAAGATCAAACAATATTTGAAACATTTCAAAAGATAGAGGGTAGCGCAAAATCGCAAATGGTCAAAATTCTATTCTCATCTTACCTATGGGATAGGTTCAAATTACTCTACAGCAATCCAAAGTCAACACTAACCGAGTAGTTACGACCAATAAACACTAAGCTTTAAGTTTGCAATAAGAATCCTGCGACAAAATTCTGCCACTTTCGTCAATGTGTCGTTGCCCAATAAGATTGGTGGGAGGTGTCATTGCAATCCTGACACGTTTGTCGCATTTGATATAAGTAGTTTGTGAGTTAGCAGTAACACAATACGTGTACCCGCCGGGAAGCAATAGGTGATGGAATAAAAACCCACTTGGCAGAGCATTTCAAATAGCGTCCAAGGGCACGTCCAGTGGAGGTGCTCATAGTGCAGCTTAAAAATAAGAACCGTACTAACAAGAAACTCCCAATAGTGTGATCCAAATTTTTTACTAGTTACTTGAAGAAGTTGCTTAACACTATGAGATGTTTGGTTCTTCCGGAAACAACAGATTCAGGAAAAAAAAAAAACACCTCCAAGGTTGAGACCGCGTCGAACCCCAAGTACGCGAAGAAGAGAACCGCCGAGGCCTTGATGACGCCGCGCGCCGTAGGGGGCCGAAGGGGGTCAGGTTCTGGGGGTGGGCTTTGATGAAGCCGGCGATGACGATGAAGACCAGGATGAGGGAGTGGATGATGGTGGCCACGTTGTTGAAGACGGAGGAGGTTTTCGTGCTGAACATTGCCAGCATGGCTATGGCTATGAGAACCACCACGGCTATGGGGTCCAGATGGCTGTAGTCATGTTGGGGATTATTATGCGAAAGTCATCTGGCTGTTTGTTGCATAAGGTCGCAAAGCATGACCATCATATGGGGACGTCCGGGGTCGTGAGGGTGAGAGAGAGGGGAAGAGAAAGCGAGACATTTTTTTGTGAGAGGAGAGAAAGTGAGACGTGAGAAGAGAGAATGAATAAAAACAAATTTCCAGAAAACAAAAAAAGAGACGTTGAAAAGTGGCGGTTGAGAGACACGTTGGAAAAAATTTGAACCGTTGGTGATACGTTTATAAATTGATATTCACTATCCTTCATTCACTCTTTATCATTCACTCTTTATAATTCACTGTTCACTGTTCACGATTCCTGTTCAATGGACAGCTCTTCTAAAACATCAAAGATTTCTAAATCTGGGCAATACTCAATGTCTTTTAACACATATGTATCTAATGATTGTGAAGAATATGATCCAACAACATCAATGTCTCCTCCAATAAGTCAAAAAGCAGCGAAGAAAAAAGCAAAAAAAAGGTTGGTGAAACATCTTCTAACAAAGAGGAGTTGGATAATATGACAAAAGCAATGTTAGAAAGAAGTGCTGCACTAAAAAAATTGGCTGAAGCGAAAGAAGTAGCTAACTTTAGTGCAATGTATGAAATTCTCATGAAGGACACATCTAGAATGACTGAGAAACAACTCAAAGATCATGAATTAGCTTGTAATTTTATTAAGCGCAAATTACGAGAATAAATATTATTGTAATTTTAATTTATACAAATTAGACTAGTTTTATTGTAATTGAATATAATTTGTTGTAACTTTATTTTCACTTATACTTATGATAATAAAAATAACAAAAATTGTAATTGAACAACTCGACTTGATAGAACATATTTGAGAATGTTTTGAACATCATAATAACGAAAATTAGTGCGTATTTAATTTTTATATTTAATTTTGTTGTAATTTTTGGTATTTTTTTATTACATAATTCTTTTTATTATTGTAATTTTTTTATTATATAATTTCTTTTGTTAGTTATTTATATTTATATATTATCCATAATAATTAATTTTATAAAAATTTATTATAAAATGTAGTATAAGGTGTCAAAAAAATATAATATGAATTGTAAAAAAATAAGAGTGCTTATAAACAATTTTTATAAGAACAAAAATTGTAAAAATTAATATAAGTTACTTATGAGTGACGTGACTCAATATAACCTATTTAAAGTAGTTAAAAATTACTTATAAATAACTCCCATTATAGATGCTCTAATGTAACGATTTGGTCATATCGACTTAAAATTTCCTTTATTTTCTGTTCTTTTAAAAAATAAAATATATTATTGTCTAAGCATTGACTCCAGCACCCTCCAGCCTCTCATCCCTTTCTACGTTTTCTTTATATCTGTTTCTGCGTTTATTTTGTGTGCTGGAGAGGCAGAAGCAAGGGAAGATCTAACATGTCCAAATACGGGTGCTTGCTTTCCAACTGCTTCGCATATATTATTGTACACGGCAATTTATAAAAAAGTTCATCAACATTAAGCAAGAACCGGGAAGAATACCATCAATTGAAAGAATAAAAAGGAATATTAAGAGTGCAGTACATTTGAGAAATTACCCTCTACAGATTTTGATGTATGGCCTAAATCAGAAATAGTATTGGTCGACAGAAATTAGCAACCAGATGAAACATCCACCGATACATAGCTAGCTGGGTATAATGTTGAAAATCAAACAAGTCGATTAAACAGTTTTTGTTCTTCTCGGAGGATCTATTTCTCTCAAAGAAATATGGCAGAATACTTTACAACAGCAAAAATTTTCCCTTGCAAATATTTGTGCAATACTTTGGGAAACAAAATCAGTAACCTGTTCCTGTCTTGCCCCGCGACAAAATGCATTAGTGCCAATGGTGGCTAACTGATGCATCCATCTATTCAGTGATGAACCAATACCAAATATGGGCCAACTGTCATAAACAAAATCTGTGTTAATTTTGTCTCCTATGACGTTAGACTCAGACCTATTAAACATTAAGTATTTCTCAAACTACATGAATTTCATGTTGGATGGCCCTAGAGGCGCAAACTTTCTCATGTTAACAACATTCTATTTTCTATAGTATCACTTAAAAACCTGTATTTAGAAATGAACGGTATTCTGCACTTGCTTAAGAATTACAGCTAAGATTCTATAGGTCACGATACAAATCAAATCATACCTATCACACACAATAGAATTGGTGGGGGATTACTTGACAGGTATGACAGCATCTAGATTTTTCTGAAGCACCCAGCCTTTTGGGTAAGCTATATTATGAGCATTCAAATGGAGATGCCAGTTCAATATTTTTGAACACCCAGCAGGTGAACCTTCCATTTGACTTTCATCTTCCACCAATTGTTCTATAAAGGTGGTCTCCTGCAAAAAACCAAAGCCATATCAGTTCACTGATTATACATGGCAAAAAAAAAATGAAATAGTACGGAAAGCTGAACATATTAAGCCATGTTTGGAAATCTGTTCCAGCCCCCCTAAAGTATGCTCATTGGAAAAGTAACAATGGAGTTACTTCTTCTCTACTAGAGACTCAAACATGCGCTTAATAGGTTGGGACAGATTAAAGAGTAACAATAGGAGACATACTTGAAAACCCTCCTTTACTGTGTCTAACTGTCGTATGGGATTTGAAGAAGGTCGCCGCCATCGTTTTGGATCCCACAAGATTGTGCTGTTGAATGCAAATCCAGACATATCAACATGAAATCTACGAAGTCTTCTACTTTTTTCATTAGTGTGCCATCCAATCACTTGGCTTGCATTGCATACGGGCCCCTCCAAAATGGCCTTGTTCTTGCTCGGTGCAAGCATGGCAACAGGCCAAGTGCCAAATCGGCTATAAAACAATTTCAACATTAGAACATGTGAATATATATGTACAAGAGGGAGGACACAATTCTTAAAGGAAGAATGGTAAAAGTTCAATGTGCAGAATGGCTGACAAAACAGTGTGGATGACATGAAAACACTATTGTTATATACAGCACATATAGCAAACCAATAGATACAAGTATATGACTCAAAGAAAGCTTATCATTACCAATCCCAATACTTTCATTCATTTAGGTAAGAAAATTTTGATTCTATTTCTTCAACAACATGGAAATGCAGTCAAGACATAACAATCAGAGGGATAACGTCACTGCCAATGACAGTTGGCTCAAAAAGTAAAGGCAAAAAAGTTACTTTTAATCCCTAAAGATGATCCTTCATTGGTAGGTCATTTATTAGTACCACTGAACCCTCATAGAGGCTTGTGACATGCTCTGAACTTGGAATGGAATCTCCTTTCCCCCTAAACTAACAAAAAAAGAGGGAAAATGCAAAAGGTGCATTTAGTTAGATTTTGGTTTTCATTCAGCTGACATGTTTTCTCTAATAATTATGTAATCATGAGTCATGACCTTACTTTGTATCTTGTTTTCAAAAATTGACAAAGGAAATGGAAAAAACAATATTTTTGTTGTTTTCATCCTTTCCTTTATAAATTCTTGAAATAGGGAACAAAGTAAAGGCCGGACAGCATTAAAAAAAAAAAAAAAAAAAAAAAAAAAAAAAAAAAAAAAAC